CTTTTGACGACACGACACTAATCAAATAGTATACTGTTGCGGTTTATCATAAAATCATACCGTCGTCAATGTGTCTCCAGTTATGACGTACTACGACCTAATATTTTTTTGGTGATGGTTGACTAAAACAAATTTTTTTTTTTTTAAGAAATGCTATTTTTTAAGTGTTATTTTTTTAAAATATCATATTTTAAAAAATTTTGCAAAAATGCCAATTTTTTAAAATTATTTTTTTCGTTATATTATTTATGTTTAGATTAACTATGTTGTATTAGGGTTTAGTTTTGAGAGTTTAAGAAGTTTTAAAGACCAAAACATTTTTTAGAGTTTACAATTTTAAGATTTAGACTCTAAAAATCTATAGTTAGTGATATTTTTACAAATAGACATCCGTAAATGGTATTATTATAAATGTACATTCCAAAAGTGGCAATTTTGCAATTGCAAAAAAAAAAATTAGTGATGATAAACTTCTTGGTTTTTTGTTTCCACAGTAACTATTTCATTTTTCCCCTAAGGTTACCAAAATCATTATTAAAAGTAGAAAATATAATTAAAAATTAAAGTACGTGTAAAAAAACACCAGTTTATTTCTCTCTTGGTAAATACGCCACACTTGAGGAAGATCGATCAGGCAGCTGTTGGGATGGCAGTACTGATTTTCCAACATGTATACATTTTTAGCCTAATGGAAAACTATGTAGAAAATTCAACATGTTTGTTTTCTCTTGCGCTTTACAGCACTAATCTTCCTGTTAAAAAAATATTACTCAATCTTTAGTATTCTAAAGCTATATTACTTCTAAAGCTATAAAAGTCAATAAACGAAAGTCTATTCTAATAGACAATAAACGAGAGGAGAAAGATATGACTTTAAAGCTTTGGAAAAAGTCCAAAGAAATCATCTCACAGGGTAATTAGAGACATTAATGAGTAGAGGACCTTCATTAAGAACTAGAATCAAGTGGCAATGCATGGAGCCGAGCTACGAGGCAATTAATGGAATCAATGACCTCTCTATAGATTTCATCCAGAAAAATAAAAAAATTGCCTGGTTAACCGTTTACACTTTACAACGTTGTATTTAAAATTTACTACCTCCTAAACCGAAAAGTTGGCACCCAAAATTTTGACCATGCATTAACTCTATTGTTAAATGTTAAATGAGGGAAAAAACCGAATAATCGGTGAAGCTCTTCTTCAACCCTTCGACTTACTTTCTTCCTCCAATCACCACTTCTACTTCTTCTCTACCTCTCTTCAAAAACCACCTTTTCACCAAAAAAACAATCGGGCATGGCGATTTCCAGCAAAAAATAGATCGATAAGATTTCTTTATCGAATTTCATTCTTCTATATCTTTAATTTATACTAACATATTTCTTGTGTTTAAGCTCTTCAATTAAGTGCTATAGGGTTCAAGAACCTTTGATCAAAGTTTAATTCCAAATGTAAGTTTTCTTTCTCAAACTTCTAGATCTACTTCCTTTAAAAGCTTTTACAGGATCTGCAAGGACTCCCAAGCCTCAGAGATTTGTCAACCTTCACAAAATTAACTTATGTTATTTTTCTTTAGAAAATGTGGCATCTTCAAGAAAAAAATTATATTTTCGGAAAACAAAACGAGAAAACAATATTGTTGAGAATGGATTTATTTGTTAAAATTTATAATATTATGTTGTCTATCTCGCTTTTCGTAAAATAAAATGGTTGCACAGCCACAAGCTTGTCTTTTTAGGAGGTAAATTATCAAATGGGCTTTGTAACGAAAGAATATAGTTAAGAGCTCGGCTTTAAGACCATCCACATTGGAGACCCAACGTGGATGTCTCTAAATAAAAAAATATTTAAAACACACTCTCTCTTCCTTTTACTCAACTTTATACCTTCTCTTTCATCTTTTTACTCAACTTTTATTAATTTTATATTTAAACAAACTCACATTCTCTCTCCAAATGTCACTATTTATGTCTTCCTAAAGACACAATCTCTCCAATAATACCCACTATCTCATCTCTTTACTCAAATTTTATTAATTTTATATTTCAATACACCACATTAATTCAACAAAAAACACTACCTTTCTTCCTTTTACTCAACTTTTAATAATTTTATATTTAAAGACACATACAAAATGTCTCCAATGCGGATGCTCTAAAAGGCCATCTATTTGAGAGTGAAACGACGGCGTGTAGCCTAGTGGGTGAAGGGTTATGATCAAAAGTAGACGATACTTTACTATAAATAGACCACAACCCCCCCATTGAGTAGTATCACCAAAGTTTCTGAAAGCAGAAAGAAGCAACTAAATAAGTGTAAAAAGAAGAAGCAAAAGCTACAAAAATGGCAAAGATCTTCAATTCCATCTGCTTCACCACTCTTTTGCTCGTTGTCTTGCTCATTTCGGCCGGTAATTCGATTATAATATTTTCAAAATAAATCATATACATGTATATATTCACATTTACATGTTTTTTTGAATATATCCGCTTCCTCAATATCAACATAGTCAA